TAGCAATGCACTGAATACTTTTTTCTTTGCAGCTGATGTTGCATTTAATATGCCCAAGAGGATGAAAAATGTGTTTAAAAATAATTTTGGAATCAAATTGGCCAGTGAAGATGGTTTTGCTTTTTACAATTGGAGTTCAATTTCTTCAAAATGTATCACAACAGAAAACAAAATGACAGACACAGATTGAAACACTGAGGTTGTGCAATTGGGAGGTACCTCTGACAAAGGGGATTTCATTTAGCTCAACCAGACAGTTCTAAGGCTGATAAAATGAATTTGAAACCAAATGAAAAGAAACTGTCACTGAATTGAACTTGGATTACTTTCTAGAGATCTTTCAATACCTAAACCCAAGACACTAATTTAATTGTCACAAATATATCTTCACCAAAAAAAAGAAGGATTTAGGGGAGTTGTTTTGCAGAGCAGAAGTGCACAGGGATGTTTGTGGCTAGAAAACTTGGGGCCTTAAGAGTTATCTTATAAGATTGCTAAAATCAGAGATGCATTTAGCAGCATTTTCAGGAAAATGAAGCTGAGCTCATCCCTTGCATTTCCTTCAGCTAAATAAAGTGAAACCTAAACAGAGGTTTACAGGCATGGATGTAAATACCTGTGCAGGGCATCTGTGAGTGCAGGGCTATCATCACCAGCACGTGTATGTGTTTGTTTTTTTTTTTGTGGTTCCTGTGGTTTAACTCCTGAGCTCCCCTGGATTCCATGGTCACAGGCAACTTGGGTTGTGCAGTGGCTTGAAGGGAATGCACTAGGATTGTTGCATCAGTTTGGCTACACAAGTGTAGTCCATGCACTGATAAATAACTTCTCTCAAAATCCTGTTAAGACTGGTAAATAATCATAATTTATATTGTTATATCATGAATAACTCAGCAGATCCATGTGCAGTCCATCTTTGTGCCCTGTGGAATGTGCACTGCAGCTCCCAATCAGACCTTGTTATTTTAATCCATATTTTGTGTTCAGCTGCAAATCTGAAGGCAGAGCTATGCCCCACACCGTGCTGCTGGTCTGAGCTGTGTGGTGGAGCAGGACACTGCTCCCCACTCTCTCCTTGGAACACAGCCCCATCTCTGCTTGCCCCTGACAGGCATCAGGAGCTCTGGAAGGTGGAGGTTCTTGTCTCTCCAGCCCTTTTTGAATGCTGAGTGCAATCTATTCTGGGACAAGATCGACTCAAATGCAAACAAGATAAGGAGAAATTACCTTTTTGTCCTTGAGTTTTATCTGTTGGAGGGAAGGTCGTGTGGGGAGTGGGTAAGAGTGTTAGAAATAAAGCTTTTGGTAAAGTGTGTAAATGATGTATTGGCATTTTGACAAATCAACAGACTTCTGAGTGCTCTGGTAATATTCCTGTAACACTTAGGAATGGGGTACTAATATTTTAAAATGAAATATTCTTTCTCACATAAATAAAAAGCTACATTTCTCTTCATATAAAAGTGGTAAGTCCCATTGTTGGTTTTTTGTTGTCTCATTTTCCTTAGTGCTATATGTTTGCTTTCTTCTTTCCTGTATTTTCCCCCTTTTCTTTCATATATACCTAAAACTTACTTGAAATCCATCTCTCTGCATACAGTACTATGGATCTTTGTTTAATTTTAGACTCCTTATCTGTTCTGTTAAAAAGAATCAGAGCCTTCACTAGCTTAGAATGGACAAAGAACTTATTTTTCCCTAACACAAATTTCTCCAAAGACCAAAACTTTTGAATATCATGACAGAAAATAAACTTACTTTTCTGTGGTGCATTGCATGATTTATATAAAAGTTTCATTTTTAGTTTCACCTCTAAGCTCATCATACCGAAAACAGGATTGAGAATCAAAATGTGACATCTTTGCCCTAGGGATGGCACCTGTTTGTACAAAAAAAATGGCAAGGAACAGAAATCTCTTGAAAAACTGTGGTTTTACCTGAACTTGAAGTAGTGAGAAGGATTTACTTTTTATAGATGTCTTCACTGCTAATTGTTATGGTAACAAAGGAGTTGAAGACATGCACTGATATGTGTATATGTCAGATATACATTTGCTGATCTAACAGGCTGACAACTGTGGTACTAAATAAGAAAATTGTAGGCTCAAAAATAAATACCTTTTTTTAGAGTTGCACGAGAGTAAAAGGAATGAGTATAATACCACAGGTTTGCATTTCACATATATGTGAATCTAGTTCTGGCTTACTATTAATTTATGTGTAGTCTTTGCTTACTGTATGGGAATAGATGGTGCAGGGAAGAAGGAATATTTTCTTGTAAAATTGTTGGTTTTAGCTGTGCAAAGGGACTGTGGGTAGGATGGATTGAAGGTGTCTGTGGTGTAGGGCACAGGAGTAGGACCCTTGAGCCCTGACTTCTCTTCCACTTTAGTTCCCTCACTGGTCTGGCAGGAACAGGGAGAAATTCCTGATTCTGCCCCTCAGCTTTCCCACTTGGAGCTAATCACAGTGCCCCTATAAAACACTTCACAGCTGAGCAGTTCTAGGTAAGAAGTTGTCCTAATTATTGTTTTCTTTTTGAGAGACTTGCTGCTACACAGGAGCTAGGGTCCAGCTGCAGTGATGGAGCTGTTATCAGTGGGAGGCTGCAGGATGCATTTCATTTAGCATCCACTTTTATTATACATCATACACTCAGCTGCATTTTTTTCTTTCTCTAAGAGGAAGTGATAGGGAGCATAAGAACACAGGAATGGTCTGTAGAGATAAGTGTGTTGCAATTTATTCTTCTGTTGCTGGCACTGAATACTGGAGCAGATTTACAAGTGGAATTTGCAGAGGGGGGAAAAAAGGTTATTATTGTCCACATCTATAAGGAAAACTGGTCCAATGACTTGGACTGCAAGACGTGATGTAAGTTGAGTTTCCTGTTCCATTGCAGGTTTCCTGTGTTTCCTTAAGTGACTTCTCTTCACAGTGCAGTTCTCCATCTGTAAAACAGGAATGATGATACTTTCCTGTGGACCATCAGTGGTTGTGTCTGGGCTCAGGGTCTGGTAGAGCTCTGATGCTACAGCCCCAGGGCCACCGGAGTTTGGTGGGTACAGGCACAAGGCTCTGAAAGACATGAGAAACTTCCAGAAATAAGTAAAAGACCTTAGAGTTTAGACCATCTGTGCCTGACAGGGGTTGAGACTATGGAGCAGAGCAAACAGGATGAGGGAGACTGTTGGATGAAGAGTGCAGTTATTTCTTTTCATCCACTCTGACAAACTGTCTTGGGCCCAATTCTTTTGTCACTGCCCTGATGCAGGTATAAAATATGTTCCTGAGCAAAAAAAAATCATGGTAGGGTACATGACATGTGTTTTTTGGGGAAGAATAAAGTGTGAGTGTTAAATTGGCTGAAAAAGGGTATGGAGAAAAATGGAACTCATTTGGTAAAATCAAATGCTCAACATTTCCTCAGAAAGTCCTTTATAAATTACATGTTTCACTTGAGAAATACTTTGTCAGATATTACCACCTCTTCCACAACAGTCAAAATGAACAACTTCTGGGCTAAGCAGCAGTCAAATGTTATTTAGAAGAGCTGATATACAGTGTATTAAATAACAAAGATGCTGACACAGCCTTAACTGTAGTAGTCCTTCTAATTTCTGCACTACCCCATGTTATATTATATCACATGGCATAATTTAGTGTATCTTTCTTTGTCAATGTATTACTCATCATTTTACAAATTACAACTCTTTTATAGGAAGATAATTCATACTTGGGCACAGTGCTAAAATGATGGAGTGTTTTCCTTTTTTTCTCACTCATTGATCTTTCAAACTTTTGCATTTAGCAGTATTAATCATGTTTATTAGCCAAGTGTTGTTGTGAAGAATGGAATTTCTGTGTTACTTTCATATTAAATTGAGATGGTTTTGTGTTTCTGCCTCTATCTGCTGCACCCCAGTAATCTATTTACTTATTCTAATTGAGATCCTTGTTCATAATTCAAAACCAAGTCAATACTGCAGTTAGATGTTTTCATAACAATCTGTAATCTAATTGACAGTATGGGGTGTACCTGAGGGGGGAGTGAACTTGAAATACCTTTCTTGCTCTACAAGAGTTCAGTCTAACTTTTTTCAGGTGGTTTGTTTTGAGGACCAGTTGTATTTTAAAATTCACTAACATGCTCTACTTAACTGCTGGTTAGAGGAACTTGTTGTTATTCAAGTGTTAAAGTGTAATAGTGAAAAAGCTACAATCTGTAAAATTGCTGCAGAACAGCATCTCTTCAGGTGACCAGGCAGAGATTCTAGACCACAAGTGCTTAGTTTTCTAGACTGTGGTTTTGTGGTAGACAGTAATTACTCTGCATAATAGATCTCTGGACTCCTGTCTTCAAACTCCTGGATACAGATGGTTTCCAAGCTCAGCCTGTGCCTGGCTCATTTAACCAGCAAAGTGAAGTGTTTCACTTAAGAATCCCCAGGATGAAGCAGTGGAGGGGAAGGTGTTGTAGCTCAGAGATGACATAGCAGGAGGATGAATTCTTGTAAGCTCTTCAGGGATGGATTTCAACTGGAATCCTGGAGAGCTTTGGAGGGAGGGAATGGCTGAGCATCTCTCTGGTAAGGTTAACAGCAGGGAGAGACCTGGCAAGCCTGAAGGTGGACATTGATGAGTCTCTGGCAGGGACTGGATGGCCTGATGGCCTGTGATAGCAGGAGGTTGTGATTCAGTGTGTCAGATGTTCCTGTTCTGATTATTTACTTAATTGTGACTGATGTTTACCTGCATGATTTTATCCTTAAACACTTAGCTTTTCCTGTTTCCAGAAACTAATGTTGTGAAGGTAGGCAATGCTGAAAGTTTCCAATCATATTTTTTGCCTGATGCATCTTTACCAGGTGTAGGTTTCAGGTGCTGTGCCTGTGCCAGGTGCTTGGTATGCTAAAGAGCATTGGCTCATTGCTAACCAAGAAAAACGTCTCTAAATAAAATGATGTGCCATTCATGGCTTGTTTTGCCCTGTCTTGCAGGTGGGAGTGAATCCTCCTGGGATAAAGACAAGCTTCAGTCCCCCATTACGACAGGATCCCAGCACAGCATTGGTCACCCCACACTGTCAGGGCAGTCAAGCCTTGGAAGTGCACACCCGCTCAGTCCTCTCCAGCAGAACCACCTGCTCACCAACAGTATGTACTGGGCTCTGGTGGGGTGAACAGAGTACCTGGAGCCCTGGTTGGGGCTGGGCTGGCCTTCCCTCCCAGCCTCATGGAGGTGGGGAAATGATGGAGGACACGTGAGCAATAGGAGGGTCAGTCCTTCCACTCTCTGCTGCACTTGTGCCTCGTGTCCAAGTCACCCAGTGGGGTGCAGCCATCCTCCTGGAATAGTCACCCTCTGCTGGGCTACTTATCTAAGTCCTTAAGTGACATTTCCATGGCCTAGACTGAAGGGAAAAATAACCAGAAAGTTGCTTAAAATTTTAGCTATGGGAGAAAATTCTCTTCCAGATAAAAATGCTCATCATCAAATACAAATGCAAGGGCAAGGAATAAGTGCAAAAATGTCCAGTTAAAAGTGAACAGGAGCAATCCCTATACCTTGTTCTGCTTTGTATCTGCCAGGTGTGGGCAAGGTTATCCATTGAACCCAGCTGTCCAAAACTGGAATAAAATCACACAGTTTGGATTTAGAACTTAGAGCTCCTTTCAAAGCCCTCTCTTTTCTTTCCCTTAGGAAGGGAGCAGGTGGGAAGCAGCAGTTCCCCTTCTTTGCACCCAAATAAGGAGGGGAAGAGTATTTCAAGCAAGATGTTCAGGATTAATGTTTTAAAAATTATTGAGGAGTAAAGTTAATTCTAACTGATGATGATGGATGCAGAATGAAAAGCTCATTATTTCTGAACTCTTGTTAATTGTTTAACCTCTTCATCCTCAAAGTTCTAAAATTTGATTTTTGGTGTTAGTTTTAGGGAATGAATGAGACTTCTGGCTCCTTACACAATTTTAGGAGCAGATAGTTCTTTGCCACCTCTGTTGAGCCCTAGAGCAAATCAGAGCTATTGAAATGAATCCTACAATGAGGATCTGCTTTGTTCATGGGACCTGAACATTTTGGGTGAGATGTCAGTAGCTGAAAATCACCAGATCACAGGACTCAAATTCACTGTAGCTTATCCTTTCATTTTATGTTCTTGCATAATTCAGTACTGGTCTATATCTTGCATAGAGGCATATTGTGTCCTTTGCTCTTAAAGATATTTTCCGGTAGATTTTGTAGTAGGCAAATCTCTATAGGCTATTAAAGGGTTTATGGAATGTCAGACATTATGCCCAATGATTTGCAAGTGCAGGATATATTTTCTTCATAGTCCTCTGAAATGTTTGACGGATTGTGTCTTAAAACTGGTGATGTGCTGTTAAATTCTGTTTGTAGTTTGCATTTAGTTTGCATGTCAATTGGACTTTAAGTAGACATGCAACTCAATGTGGCCAGATGGTGTCTGGGAGTTTTGGAACTCTATAGAGGATGGGGAAAGATTATTGGGCTGTTAAGGGAGATCTGCAGGGGAACAAAGGCTTATGGATGCAGGCACTGAAGGGGATTGTCAGTGTGGCTTGAAGAGAAGGGAGATGAGATGTATGTGGGCTTTGCTTATTGCCTATCATAATTAATATTGGCGTGGATCATCATATAAAATACATAGTGAATCATTAGTTGTTGATCATGATATACTCATGCTAAACAGAAATAGTGTGGGAGCTCAGAATATTGTGATTCTGCCTTTCCTGGTGGGCACTGGGATGTTTTTATAGCACTATAGTCAAATTGTATGGGAATAACAGAAGCTATATCAGTCAATGGCATTTTTTATTGTGAGGTCTGTCATACACCAAAATAGGGATTGGCCTTCTCGTTGAAAAGGGTTGAGATAGAGCCAAAAGCTAAAAATCTTTTTAAAATACTGTGAATAGCATAGAATCATAGAATCAAACATGTTGAAAGAGACCTCCAGGATCATCAAGTCCAACCCTACTGTGGTCACCAGACCATGGCACTAAGTGCCACATCCAGTCTCAGCTTGAAAACCTCCAGGGATGGTGAGTCCACCACCTTCCTGGGCAGCACATTCCAATGCCTGAGCACTCTCTCCCTAAAAAATCTCTTCCTAATATGCAACCTAACCCTCCCCTGGCAGAGCTTGAGTCTGTGCCCTCTTGTCCTGCTGCTGGTTGCCTGGGAGAAGAGACCAACCCCCACCTGACTCCAACCTCCTGTCAGGGAGTTGCAGAGGGTGAGAAGGTCTCCCCTGAGCCTCCTCTTCTCCAGGCTGAACACCCCCAGCTCCCTCAGCCTCTCCTCATGGCACTGGTGCTCCAGCCCCTTCACCAGCCTCGTTGCTCTTCTCTGGACCTGCTCCAGCCCCTCAATGTCCCTCCTGAGCTGAGGGGCCCAGAGCTGAGCACAGGATTCAAGGTGTGGCCAGTTCTTCACCCAGCAGAGAGTGCCCCTGTCCAGGCCATGGGCTGACAGCTTTGTCAGGAGTATGCTATCGGAGACAATGCATATGATTATGACTAGCTATATATTTATGTTATTTAATACTTGCACCTGAATCTTTTACTGTCAATTTCTAATCTAAATTTCATTTAGAAAAATGGTAAGACATTTTGTCTGGCAGAATGAGTCCTGGTTTTTTTTTCTGAAAAAATAATTTTGGATGCCCAAAAGTAGCTACCTCTGAAGTCCCTCTAAAGAATTCTTGAATGCACAATAGCCTGAAACAATTTTTGGTGTCTTGGTCTTGCTCGCCATTGCTGTCATTACTAAATACAAGAAAGAATACACATGCTGAAACAGATATTAATGAAACATGAGAATCCAATTCTTGCTAGCAGTAACTTCACCTTTTTGACAATGTCAGGATCTACAAGTTGGTCCAAATGAATTTCATACCTCCTTAAATTGGTTTTTATCCATAGCAGAAGACAATTTAAAGTGACGTTTTGGAAATTAAAACCTCTGGCAAGAGTTTTAACCTCTCATTACACGTTCCAGTTCACAGACCTTCTGTACAATAGCTCAGTAGTATCTGTAGTCCATCCCACAGCTTCCTGGATTCAAGCAATAGTCCTGATAGAAAAATCTAGTCACAGATTGCTGTGTGTGAGAACTCAAATAGTAAGAGTACTTGGTAGGAGTGTATGGTCGGATAAAATTACTAATAGTTTTTCATCTGATGTATTGGAAAATATGCAAATTGTGTGCATGTTTCAGGGCTTGTTCTTTATTTCTCTTCATCAAGAGATCACTGAAGTTGTGCACTGTAGTGTATTCATTTTGTGTTACTCCACAGCTATATGTTTCTTCCCCCACTACCAACCAAACATTCCTGGAGTACAAAGACAATTATTCCCTATGCACCACCAAAATGATGACACATAATGACGTTGCATTTGACTATCAACGTTCCAGTAGAGTGTAGAGCCTGTAAGATGAAGGTGTTGGGTTCTGAGGAGGCACTGACTGCCCGTGCTCTCTTGCAGGGATAGACCTGCCGTTCATGATGATGCCTCACCCTCTGCTCCCCGTCAGCCTACCTCCCGCCTCCGTCGCCATGGCCATGAACCAGATGAACCACCTCAACACCATAGCCAACATGGCTGCAGCAGCTCAGATGCACAGTCCTCTCTCCAGGGCAGGGGCCTCTGTCATCAAGGTAAGAGTTGTCTGTGAGACGTAATAAAAACAGCTAACAAAAGCGTTTGCAGTGTCTTTTAAGGTGGGTAGCTAAGAGGCAATGAGGTTCCAGTGTGTCTAGCATACCTGAGATGCTGCTCCTGACAGTGCTTCAGGCTGAGGAAATACCCATCAGTACAGGCAAGAGGTTCTGCTGCTGCTCTGGTCCATCTCCAAGTCTGTAATGTAATGAAAAATGGATGCTAACACTCCATAAAGGCTAGGGGAGGATATGTGCTGCATCTCTTGAAGCTCAAAAACTATTCTAGAATGTTCTTCAAAATCAAACTCAATGTTATACTTGAAAGAAAATACTATAGAACATAGGAGGAACTTGTGGAAGGCAAAGCCAGAACAGGTTAATAGCACAGAAAATCATCACAAGTACCTTAGTGAGTGAAATGTCTGGTCACCACACTGGAGCTTCTTTCTGGTTGGTTTTCTGGTTTCCATGTTTATACTTTGGAATGTTTTTTCTGGTTTCCATGTTTATACTTTGGAAAGGTTTGTGGTAGTCTCTACCAAGCAGGTTGTTAAGAAAGTTTCATGCCTTTGTGGAGAGCTGAAGTCCTGCCACACACTCAAAAATACATTGAGAAAAGGAGTTTTGAAGATAGAAGGATGTAGGATCAGTGCATGAAAGGGATTGGTGCCATAAGATCCTTGAAAACACATGTCCACTTTTCAGTGAGCAAAAATGAAAGGTTTTATCAGTCTAATTTGTGTGTTTGCATGCAGGTGTGGGTTTCTTGGTGGCAAAATTCTGTCAGCTTTGAAAGTTCATTATTTCAGTCCACTTTTTTTTTGCGTCTAGAATGAGTCTATAGATTTATCTGTGCTGGGAAGTACATAGCTTTATATTTTGATATTTATGCTCATTTACACTCGTATCCCCATCATTCTGAGCTGATTTCTTCTAATAACTCTCCCTGATTTGCTGATTTTAACCTCTCATATCTTCATTGTAAAACATCTTAATTATAAAATATCTTTAGAATAGAACAGTAAGAAAGGTAGTGTTGCCAGCATTACAGGCCAGTTGTGAGAATGGATTAGTTCGGGTTGTGTTGTACTTTGTATTGTCTCAGCTTGACAGTGCAGG